AAATACATGGTTTTCGAATGTATTCCTAAGCAATAAAATCTGCATCAGCTTCATTTACATCCCTTCCCTGATCAGATTACCATGGTCTAGTCTTCTTCAAAATGATCTACAGGATTTTAATAAGTATTGTTTGTTTTTGTTTTGTTTTTTAATTTCACCAGAGGGCTCATGTGCTCACTAACAAGAGGCAGAGAGAGAGAGAGAAAGAGACAAAGTGAGAAATCAAGGGGAATGGTCACATCACAATTCCTTCTCCATTTCTCCCTTCTTTCTGGATTTTGAGCACACATGCACGTACATCCAACATGTTATTCAAGCCACTGGATCCAAGACTCAAACCACAGTCCACCATGTGAGATCCAGCCTCCTCAACAACCATGCCATGGTTGGCCCAATTAGTATTGTATTTTTTAAATAATGAGGAAGATAAAAGTGTACAACCTTCATGGTTGAATATGTAAAGAGATTGCTTTATTATTTGACTTCTTTACAAATCTGTTCAAAACTTAGATGACACAAAACGCTTTGTCCGAGCACCTTAGAAGACTAGTGTTATCTAAAGCTAACTTAGTAAAATTCTTTCCTAGGAACTGTCTTACCTCCTTGTGCCCTCCAGCCTCTACATTAGTAGCTCCAAAAGTGTTATATGCCACACTTTGCTGTGGTTATTTAAAGTCGAGATGATGTCATGGGAAAGAATTATGTGAATCCCAGATATTCCAAAGAGATAAAGAAAAAAAAATATGTAGTGAAAACCTAATTAATTAATTAAGTCATATTTCAAGAACTTAGTTTGGAGCAGTGCTTAGCACTTCAGCAACAGGTAAGATAGCATTAAATGCTATAACTTATCCATAATTCTTTTGTGTATTATCAACTCTCAAAACAATTAAGCCAAAACTAAAGCATAAAAATGCTTTCTTGGTCACCCTTTTTCCCCAGCACTCAGCTCCTACAAAAGAATTGTTATTTAAGACTATGGTTTGATCAAAAAAGAATTTTCAAGGGACCAGCAGATGAAGTAACGCTTACATTGCTGGATTCTCATGTAGTTGACCATGGTTTGAGTTACAAAGTCGGCAATTTTTAACTCTTGACAAGCATATGTGTGTGTGCGTGTGTCCAAGATCCTAAAAGGAGACTAGAGAAGAAAGGATTGTGGCATGGCCATCTCCCCTAGGGGTTATTTCTCCCTTTCTGTCTCTCTGTCTCTTTCTGTCTTTCTGGCAAGCACACACACCTTGTAGCAAAAATCTCTAAAAAAATCCCAAAAAATTCTAAAAGGAGCATGTGCTTACCAGAGAGACACAGAGAGAGAAGAAAATTCAGAAAACAGCCTCAAAGGTACCTGGTCATGCTATAATCCATTCTCCTCCATTTCTCTTTTTAGGATTTTTGGGCCCACATCCAGCGTATTTTCAAGCTGTGTTTTCTTGGTCTTACGGGTTCCAGCTGCCTTAACCACCATACCACTGTCTGGCCTTGTGATAATTACTAGGCATTACTTGAAAAGGAAATTTGCTAAAAATTATAGAGGATAAGACAAGGTTTAGAGAGACAGAGATTATAATTTCTCAGTAAAGTAATATGAAGCTAAATCCCAGTGGAGTCTGAAATAATAGCTAACTAGTAATGATGAAAATCCATATATTTAGAAATGGCTAAATATAAAGGTACAAAAGAGAAAATGGAGGATTATCATTACATTAACTGCCACTGGAAATAAGTACAAAAAAAAAAAAAAAGGACCATAATGTTATAAGAGAAAGCAAGTAAGTGAAATGTGGAGGAATTGAGATTTAAAATTTCTTGGGAACCAGCAGTCAGTGTAATGGTTATGTCGCTTGACTC